ACAACACCACAGGCCGCCTCCACATTTGCCACCGCCCTCGAGCACCTCGTCAATGAGAGTAGTTCTTTCAAGAAGGCCCCTTTCACGGTTTAGGGTTAGGGTTCAGGGTTTAGGGCTTAGGGAGTTTAGGGTCTAGGGTTTAGGGTTTAGGGAGTTTAGGGTTTAGGGTTTAGGGGAGTTTAGGGTTTAGGGTTTAGGGGAGTTTAGGGCTTAGGGCTAAGGGCTGCCAGCTCCCAGCAGTCGTTGATTGAGCCTGTCGTCGGTACTTATTAGCACCAAGGAAACCCTCATCAAGCACTTGAGAAGCCTCTGTTCAATGTTCTCCCAGTATTGAAACAAGCCCTACACTTCTTCTGAGACAAACAGACGGCCCCCCCCAATCAAGCTCGCAGTGATTTCTCTGGCTGCAAGGAAGCACGTGCAGCTTGATTAAGCTTCCATTGCGTTTGTTCAGTTTTTACCAAAGCACTGTGGAGCTTTATCTGGAGCTGTTGGGCCGTTAGCAAGTTGCTTTGCAGGATGCACCCAAGACTAAACCCTTGCAGAAGCAAACCTATATAGTAACCCCGTAGAAAGCCGGAACCGCGGAAAGCGTCTGATCTCTCCGCAGCGCAGCTGCATCGGCTCAGTTCGTCTACAGGAGAAGAGATGGCCCCGCTCCACCATACCTTTGCACAAGATGCCTCTGAGAACACTATACGTAGAGGAGGCGAACAGAGGAGAGGGGGGGCAGGGAGGGAGAGAGAGAGAGAGAGAGAGAGAGAGAAACAGAGAGAGGGAGAGAAACAGAGAGAGGGAGAGAGAGAGAGAGCGAGAGACAGAGCCAGAGAGAGAGAGAGAGAGNNGAGTGAGTGAGTGAGTGAGTGAAAGCCACCATGCAGACGTGCACACCATGCACATTGACGCCGGAAGAGAGACAGAGACAGATTTGGGGCGGAAGGGATCTCACTGACTGCTCTGAATGCGGCTTCGGGGCGTGACCACGGGAGGAGGGAGCTCCCATTTGAGACGGTTTACTTCTGCTCGGATGTGCGGAGGCAGGCGGCGCATGCTGCTCTCCACAAGGTGCCTCGGCTTGGGGATCTTAGTTCTTAGAGGTCTATGCCACACCACGTGTAGTACCGCTCCTACAGTCGTGCTACGGTTGTGTCCTGCCTGCTTTGAGTCGTAAGGGGGTGTCCTTTGATGTCAGAAGTGCTGATGGAACTGATGAAATGAGACCATGTATGACCTTCGCTTTAGAAGACCGAAATGACACCGCACTGAGGCGCTTCTGACACGAAAGGCCAGGACAGCCAGGATGCACGAAGGACATCCTCATGGGCCGAAATCTCCCCATTGGAATAGGCTTGCATTGAGCTCCCCGTACCTCGGCCTTGAGCAGCTCGATGAGGCCGTCAACTCGTGGAGTGAGGCCTTCTTTCTCTGCCTTCTTGGAGATGACGGGCAGGAAGGTCACGAGAAGCTCCTGGTCGCTTGCTTCAAGAAGACTCTGCCGCAGCTGCCAGTCTGGTTTGGGAATCGGACGGTGCGGGAAATGGCAGTAAGCACATGCCATCCCTCTTGGGCACACATGGCCCTTGGCGATGTGCACGCACGGCCTGTTGCAAAAATGCGGATGTCCGAAACTGCCGGTGCCGAATCGTAGCTTGGGTGCTGTTGGCCCGTGCGCTTCTGGAGTCTCCAAGCCCGGTGGTGGCAGGGGCGGCGAAAGGGCCTCCTGAGACCATGGTGCCGGGAATGAAGGAGCGTTGGGACCAATTGCGAAGATACATGGCGGAGCCGCAACCCGTACATCTCCACATGACTGACCTCAGCATCTGGCTTTGCTGCTGTCTCTCACCCCGACAGAAAATTGCTAGCTGACACGCCAGGGCACAAAAGGGGCCTGGCGCAGTGACCAAAGCTGCTGGCCATGTGTACTCTGTCATGGCTGCTACGGGACCGCTTGGAAGGTGCGGGATCAGTTTCAGCACGGCTTCGGCGAATGCAACAGCACGCAAATCCTCTTGCGTGAGCCTCACAGGTAACAGATAGACTGACACAGACTTACCCAGCGACACCCCTATAGTCTACTAGTATGAGTCTCTCGGGCTTAATAAAGGGGAACCACCTTTCTGCTGAAGTGTGTCTGAACTACCGAAAACCTGCTCTTTTTCGACACTTTCTGGGCTCGCGCGTCCGCGCTTCATTGCCTCCGCCCAAAAAAACCTGTGTGCAAAGATGTGCTGGGAGCTTCATCAGCAGTTGTAAGCAAGACTGTGATGCAGGAAAAACCCTAAACCCTAAACCCTAAATCCTTCAGGGTGCAGGGGTGCAGAATACCGGGTTTTCAGCAAAGCTATGAAGGGCCAGAAACCCAAAACTCGGAGTCCCAAGCCAAAAACGCTTGTCCTTATAACCTCAACCCTAGGCTCCGATACAGGGGGCCTGAATCATAGAATTAAGGCCTTTCCCCTAAACCCTAAACCC